GTCATGTTGGGTAAAATCCCATCGGTTCGTGATTCATGATAAATCCCCGCAGGACATTTCATGAGTGCCCATCATAGATCCGCAGATAGAGTGGGTAATTTATAGATTTTCCCAGCTCGTTTATGCTTCATAATATACGGCAATTTTTGGGTCACGTCCCCCCGTCAAATGAAGTCTGCATGGTCGGTAAAGACACCTACTTCACCAAGACACCTAAGATTTGCTCACGTAAGGGCTTGCGAATAATTTTCACGTCACCATTCATTAATGCGTCATTTTGTCGCATATCATTATATGTTAAATTCAATGCGGTATTTGAAATAATTTTGAATTACGTCTATAAATAATTAGTCGCATTATTGTTAATATGAACTTTATTCAGCATGTTGGCAACTCTACTGCTATGAGGTCACTCTTACTTCCATTTAACACTCATCAATCACTGTCACTCAAACATGCACACATACTCACTCACTCACCGACGCAGACAAAAAGACACTGAAACCTTCATTAATAGGATTTGCTGTTGTCTTAGTTGCAGGCTTACGTATTTGTTTGCCGCAATATTGTTAGTCGTGATGCGTGACTTGTACATGAATTCGTATTTACATACTTTTCCTTCTGTTTCGACATTGGTTCGAGTAATTCCTTGCGGAATGCCAATTGTCGTTTCCCTTACTTTATCATTTCACGAGATGATGGTAGCTCAAGAGGATCCTTGCGGATCGCTACCAACGTCTCCCTCTTCTATTTTCCTCTCTTAACTTTGTGAACACAAAACACAAAAAGAAAAAAAAGACGAAAAAAACGAAAATTCAACTTTAAAAACTGCAAATTATGAAACAAAAAATCGGCTTGTAGCTTTTAACACCTTCTGTTCTCTGTCGTTTTCCTTCTCTCACTATCTGGCCCATTATATGTTATTCTGGTTCCCGATATCTGAAACGGCACCGAAGGAGGCCCTGCTGCAGAAACGGTCACCTTCGGAAGCCATTAGAAAACGTCATCAGAGATCGCCGCTCGCCAGGACACCCTAGATCCAGCAAAGACAGGAGCTCGCCAGCACAGGTTCGCCGCCCTGTGCTGTGGACGGGCGCCGCCTGCCTGGACGCTGCAGACTCAGTCAAACTCCAGGAGCTCATTAGTGCAGGTATCAGCGGCCCTACGATGTCGGCGAGGACGCTGCCTGCCGGACGCCCGTAGATCCTGACGACGATTACGAGGACGTCTGCACGAGCGCGCAGCCGAGAAGGACCTGGACGGAGATCTGCGAGACGTGCATTGGGTGAATAAGCCGCCGAGTTTGACCTGCAAGCGGACTACGAGGATGTCTGGTCGAGGACCTGTGCGAGGCCAGTCGAGGACGTGAGGATGTCGAAGACGAACGAATTCCCAGGGACCAGAGCGAGGATGACGACACAGAACGAGCAGCCACGGAGATGCACCAAGGATACCGCACCCGAGATCGAGGACGACAAGTTGGAACCAGCCAGGTTGGGTCACCCTTGAGGGAGTCAAGATCGCCACGAGGACGAGGCGTGAGTAGGTGGCCGAGCAATATAGTATATAAAATCAGTAGTGGAGGCTTGAAGTGGCCACGTGGTGCCAATGCGGCCTACCCAATAAAAGAGTTTTTAGCCACTAAGCTTTTACTACTTCAGTGTCACCAATGTATAGAGGTCCTTCAATAACCCTTACAGTGTGTGTGTGTGTGTGTGTGTGTGTGTGTGTGTGTGTGTGTGTGTGTGTGTGTGTGTGTATGTATATATATATATATATATGTATATATATATATGTATATATATATATATGTATATATATATATATGTATATATATATATGTATATATATATATGTATATATATATGTATATATATATGTATATATATATGTATATATATATATATATATATATATATATATATATATATATGTATATATATATGTATATATATATATATATATATATATATATATATATATATATATATATATATATATATATATATATATATACAAACATATATAAATATATAAATATATATAAATATATATATATAAATATATATATATATATATATATATATATATATATGTATATATATATACATATATATATGTATATATGAAAAGGAAAACAGTAAGAAATGAACTCTTCATGAGTTCCTCTCAAAGGAACTTGTGAAGAGTTCAAAACGTTACTATTTATATTCATTTCTTTTTGTGGCTGTTTTTCTTTTCATCCTTGTTTACACGTTACTGCCATGTATTGCCTAAGTATAATCATGAATAGTAAAACAAAGAGAAAAATCAGGAATGACGTTAATGAGAGCACTGCCAGAGCAGTTGCTGTCTCATCCAGCTGGCAGGTATCAGCCGCCCGTCATCAGGCTACTCTACGCACAGATAAAACAATAGAATTAGCTACATGGAATGTTAATACCTTATACTGTGTATTATATTGGTATTTTATGCCCACGTGGATGCTCGCAGTAGCACGTGGCGCCCAAGCGGCCTACCCAAGTGGCGTGCCCACAGCATGGTTTGGGTACGCTATCCTACCCTCGTCTCCAAGCCAACGCTTGGATATTTATGGCCTGCAGGTGACCCCTGTAGTTCTAGCTTCGCCCGGGCCTTCGGCTATGGCCGGGCCATAGCCGAAGGCCCGGGCGAAGCTAGAACTTCGCAAATCACAATCGATCGACCCCTGTAGGCAGAGTGTTCTGTGCCGCGGCGGGGTCACGTCTGACCGCGCGGCCAGGTTGCCGTTTGGCAGGGCTCGCCAGTGACCTAGGTGCCCTTGCCTTAACCCAAGCCTTGTCATCATTGTGTTATTAACTCCGTGTGCTAACTCTTATCAATAAAGGGTTTTAAGCCACCAATCTTTTACTACTCCCTGTCACCAATGTTTAGAGGTCCTTCCCTGACTCTTACATACCTTATTCCAAGCTGGTAAATTTGATAATTTAGAGATTAAAATTTGATATAATAGGAGTATGTAAAACAAGATGGACAGGAATTGAAAGTTGTAAGAGAGATGGATTTAAGTTTATATATTCAGGATGAGAGAAACATGAAAAAAGGAGTAGGAATTTTACTATCACCTGTAGTTACAAAATGTTTGGTTGGAGATGTGTCTATTTCTGATTGAGTATTGATGGTGAAGATCAAAGCAAAACCAGTGAATCTCAATGTTATCCAAGTGTATGCACCAACAGCAGATCATACTGATGAAGAGGTTGAAGAATTTTTTGAGATGATAGAATAAGTAAAAAAACAGTGCAAGAATCATGAAGTAACAGTAATTATGGGAGATATAAATGCTAAGTTGGAAGACAAGGCTTAGGGAAAAAAGAATGACAGAGGAGCAAGCTGGATAAATTGGTGCGAATCTCATAATGTTATTTTAAATACATGGTTTCAACATCCACCAAGAAAATTTTGAACTTGGAAAAGTTCTGGAGACAGATACAAAAATCTAATTGCTTACATCACAATCAACAGCACATTCAAAAGAACAGTGACACAAGTGAAGACATATTCTGGTGCAGACTGTGGTTTAGATTGTGATCATGTTCCAGGAGTAGCAGTTAACTTAAAGAATGTAAAGAAAAAGAAAGAGAGAGAGAGAGAGAGAGAGAGAGAGAGAGAGAGAGCACAAGAGAGAGAGAGAGAGAGAGAGAGAGAGAGAGAGAGAGAGAGAGAGAGAGAGAGAGAGAGAGAAAGAGAGAGCACAAGAGAGAGAGAGCACAAGAGAGAGAGAGAGAGAGAGAGAGAGAGAGAGAGAGAGAGAGAGAGAGAGAGAGAGAGAGAGAGAGAGAGAGAGAGAGAGAGAGAGAGGGGGGGGGGGAAAGGGAAAGGGAAAGGGAAAGAGAGAAAGAAGAAAGAAGAGAGAGAGAGAGAGAGAGAGAGAGAAGAGAGAGAGAGAGAGAGAGAGAGAGAGAGAGAGGAGAGAGAGAAAAAGAGAGTGAGAGAGAGAGAGAAAGAGAAAGAGAGAGAGAAGGGGAAAGGGAAAGGGAAAGGGAAAGAGAGGGAGAGAGATTAAGAGAGAAATAGTGTTAATAAAGGTGAGAGAGCGAGAAAAGGAATATGTGTGTGTGTGTGTGTGTGTGTGTGTGTGTGTGTGTGTGTGTGTGTGTGTGTGTGTGTGCACGTGTGTGGATGCGAGTGTATTATGGTAACTGGCATGGGATATGATAACAATAGATTTTTTTGATTGGAGACAAATCACAAAAGTGGAGGCGGAGGGCAGAGGAATGTAGTACTGCACTGATACAGATATTGTCCTATTGGTGGATGACATGCACTTAACCTGTTTCCGCTGGGGAAAATGAAAAAAAAATGGGGAAAATGCTGTGCTGATTTTTTATATTTTTGTGAAATGTTTCTGTACATAGATGGCTCTGCTACTACTTAGCCACAAAGGAGTCAATTAGTAGATCTTGTGACCTTACCTGATTTCACCTTTCCTTGAATTGGCAGGAAAAACATATTTTTTACTAGTGCTATAAATATCGATGGTGTTATTTTCATTACAACACTATAATTACTATAAAGTTATAAACATTTGTAACAGCAAAATAAGATAACATAAAATATTTTCGTAAATCAATGAAAAGGGTGAATGGGCGAGACAGGTAGTACTCATTATATGCTCACTGGTGACAAATACAAGTGTAGTTATCTATGTGTCAAAACAAAAAAAGTAAACTCACAATGGGCATGGCATATATGTGCATGCCATGCCCATTGGCAAAGGGTTAATGGTTATTAGGGCAAAGCTTCTGGACATCAGTAACAGTTGGTACAGAGATGAAATAACTGAAGACATCTCTCCTTGAAGTGGAAATCCTGTGTGTGTATCGGCTATTACCGTCAATGTGAGTATATGAATTCAAGCCTTGATCTCATCAGTGCCCTGATTTCCTATACTGTATCTACTAAGAAGGTTAGCAGGAACTTCATCCCAAAATTTAACAGGATGGATTAAACGTGTGAGAGAAAATTCAAGTGTTTATTTGCTTTTCAGACTCTGAAATAAAAACTTTATTGGACTTACATACACAAAGCAACGGAAATTTCTGAATATCATTATAATCAACAGTGATCAGTAATAATAACACAATAGTTACACTGAAATTAAAATATTTATGAAAACTACCTCAATTACAACACCTCAAGGCCATCTTGAGATCTTAGGTTGTATAAAAGACTATCACAACAGAATGGTAAAAAAAAGAGACATAAGAACATCAATCTACATTTTCATTTGAAAAGATGAAGATGGAGAATGAGAAAGAAAGAATATGAACAGAAGGAAAAAAATCTGAAACAAAATCTAAACCACTTAAGGCCCAAATTCTAAAAGGATTGACACATCTGCTTTTAGTGCCATAAAAGTACAATCTATTCATAACAAATAGCACATAATGCATCAGACATCCATACATTCATATGGATAAACTCACAAAATTTGTGTCAAAAATTATGATATAATATAAACATGGTTGTAAAGAATAATCTGCAAAATTTCTCTTAACAAAAATTCGATCATTCAGTCAAAGTCCTGACAAGTTCATCTATATATTCATATAAAAAAAAATCCATTCTGTTCTATACTATTTCTTTCTGAATATAAGAACATGAGAAATATTTCTAGACAAAAAGAAAATCAACAATACAGATTCATGCTTATGGAAACTGCCTTTGCCTGAGTACAAAATATATTAAAAGCAAACTAATTCAATTTTTAGAAAATAAATTAAATCAATTGATTCTGAGAAGAAAAAAATCTCCTTTATATCTTTGTCATCAAGTGATTAAAAAAACACAGTCTACACCTGAATAATGTACAATATACAACTTGGTCTGCAATGATAATGATGATAATGTTGATGAATCAATCCTCACACATATGAATTTATACATCAGAATAAAATCAGTAAGGAAAGGAAAGAAAGGAAGAAAAAAGTGAATAAGAAAAAAGGAAGGAAATTGAAATATTAGCATCTGTTTACTAGTGCTATTGTGACTCTGGAGGAATCAAAATCAGCTGTTTTATATAATCCTTCAGCTTGTTTGTGACACCCTGTAAAGACAAGAAAAAGGAAATCATATACTTTCCAAAAAGGAGGACAAATCAACAAATTTGAGTACATCACATTTATTATAATTCTCTATATTGTAGGACCTTTTATTACAACTTCATATTTCTTCTAAACTATTTTACTCTGTACTTTTAAAATTCAAAGCATTCTCTTAACTTTCCAGTTACTTACTGACATAAGTATCACTTCCTTGTCTTCGTGCAACCGGTAGGTGGTGCCAGTACGATTATAATATTTGTCTAGTTTCAAGTTGAGTGTCCAGAGAGTCTGGATCATACATGCCTGCATGTCAGTATCTTCTAGCAGCATGTCTTTGCAGTCACTCTAAAAAAGAAGAGTTATCTTTGACTTTATATTTGGATTATTTGTTTAGTATATATGCAAAAGCAGATTAATTATACCAACCCCCTCTCCTCTGCTCAAAAATAAACCTTTATGGATTTCTCTCCCTGTGTATAGCTTTAGCTGCCTCCTTATCCTGCATTTTGTTTTATATCTTCCCTTGTACAAAAGTGCTGCACAGCACCTACATCTTTTTATAGTGTAATGAACCAGGTAAAAGAATAAAAGCCCTGCTATGTTTGAATACTTGTGGAGGCTTGTGGCCTCTCTTTTGTTGAATAAAAGACCACATATACTGTATAATTACTAGCAAATATATTGTGAAAATGGGAGAAAAAAAAAGTATTTGCAAATTAAAAATACATGCTGATATCAGATCACATAAAAGATTTTTCACCTGTCTACTACACTGGAAGGAAAACTGTGCAAAGCAACAGTGAGTCATCCACATCAATGTCTATGTTTTGTGATTA